AAGGAAAGCAGCATTTAGTTGTCTCAAAGTTAAATTTACTCATTCCAGCCTTTTCTCATGGATTTCTATAAATTACAAGATGGCTATAGGTGCAGTGGACAGGAAATTAGATGTCCATCCCATTTGTCAAAGCTGTAAATTTCTGTTCCGCAATTCATAAATGTAATTTTCAAAATATAGGGGATTTATACTGTGGTGTAATTAGTCCATATGCTTGGTAGCACTTGGTGTGGGCCTGCAGTGAAGCTGTCCCATCATGGCAGGAACGCATGGGAGAGAAAACTGCTGTCACCATGAGTCAGGAAGCAGAGGAGGTGAAACCGTAGCTAGAGAAGTGTCCATCTAATGTGCAAGGCTGGGATATGCCTTGATCTAAATCAGCAGTAAAAAGCACCCGATTGTGTCTCCCGTTCCTCCCTCAAGGGGGTCAGAGTTCATGCAGAGGGAACATGTGAATAACCCGCGCCCTGGCACATTCTAATGTGCTTTGTGGAAAGCTGGGAAGTTGCCTCGGACACTCAAGGCGCTCAGCCAAGGTATACCTTAAGGTTTCAGGCAAGGCTCATTAAAGAGACTGGGTATTTTAAGAGGAATTCCCAGCAGGGTGGTGAACTCAGCCTGAGCGGAAGGAGGAAACGAGGCAGAAAATCAGCACCAAAGAATAAAGGCTGAAGTGTCAGAGTAAATAACTGAGGAGCAGAGCCCAGGGAAAGAATAGGGTATCAGGTACTGCAGTATGGCCGCATGCTTCTCAGACAGTTCTCGAAGAACCAGATGACTCACGGGCAAAGACGTTACCTGTGTACGGTGCCAACGCTGAGGGCAGAGCGGGAGCAGGCTCTTGGCCCCACTGTGCGTTCCTCACTGCTTAGTTTTGCCTTGCTTGTCGCCGAACCCCATGCCTCTCATGCTTCTTCCCACACTGCGTCCATCTGGGAGCTCCCTTTCTGTTCACCAGTGACAGCAGGTTCCAGTGCAGAGCCGAGAGCCAGGGAGTGCACAGAGCAAAACACTGCTCTTCCTTCAGCGTCCCGTGAAGGCATCTGCCACGTGCGTCTCTTCTGAGCATAAAGGAACTCACATGATCTCAGGGGTTCCTAGAGTGTTGGACCTAGGTCCCACTGCCACCTGTCTCTTTTTAGCTCTGATAGCTTAAGTTTACTTAGCTTGAAAATGGAGAAAGAGTAACACTCATCTCACAGCCTGCTCAACAATGTCTGCCACACAATGAATGCTCTATAAAAAGGACCATTTAATAAAACTCAATGACAATTATCACACGCTGTGGGTGGAAATGTACAATAGTATAATTACAATCACTTTGAGAGTAGTTTAGTGGTACATATGAAAACTCAACCCATGCATAGATTATGACCCAAGAATTCCATTCTTAGGTATGTTCCCAGATAAAGATTCTTTCAGATGCATAAGTGAATGGACAGCAAACTCATACATAGAAATGTGTCCAAAAGCTAAGCTCAGGCTAATGTTATTTATCACTTCATTAGTGCCTTGAGATATTCCAAGAATAGGCAAGTTGCTATTTCATATGAACATATGATGTTCCCGACTATGAACAAAGTGAGAGGGATTTCCATGGTCTGTGTTCTCTTGAGAATTTCTCATTGACTCCTGTTCTTCTGTCTTTTGATTTCTCCTTCAACTCTTGCCGAAACAATGACATTGTACAAGAGAAGTTTAATCTATCCTCAAACACCTTAGATGACAATTGGATTAGAGGAAGGAATAGATTGAGATCAGATTACAAGGAAGACGTGTGCACTTGAAAAGCAGCTAATTTGTCCCTAAAAGTCATTTGCTAGTTTCAAACTAGAATTTATTTCCCACAAGGTTTCCAGTTCTGCTCCTGTTTCAATTCTGAGAGTCTAGGTAAAGAGAACAGAGCTGGGATTTACAATTTGGGGGACAAAAAGATCCTTTGATCGGACCACAGTATCAAGTCACATTGAATGTTTAGTCATGCTAAAGATGTGCTTGGCAGGCGTGAAACAGCCTGAGGGTGCTGAATCTTCCTTTGTTCAGGCCTGTTGGGGGAAGTGCAGAGTATCCTTTCCCTTAGACTCTCCTCGTTCTTGGACTGGTACTTAGAAACTATGCCTCACTGGGCAGTACTGTAAGTTTCTCTCCAATAATACTTCACTGGGTATTTCAGCTGTGAATATTCACACAGACCCTTTGATACCATTATAGAAAATGATGGAAACAGAAATAAGGACAAAACATGGACGTGTCTAAATGAAAACACCCTGGAGACCATCTAAGAGCTCATAAACATGTATTCAGAATTCTAAATAAAACTCTGAATATTTGGTTTAGCATCCACTTCATGACATAGACGGCTACACTGTCCTTGATGCTTCCCCAGCTAACTCAGGACTGCCATTTTGGATAAGGTTAAGTGGAAGATCACCTGCGCCAACCACAGAACATTTCAAGGGAGCCACTAGGGAAGCACTCCCAGGAGAATCTAGGCATCTTTCCTTTCTGGTACTTTGAGGGCTTTGCCAGTCTTCACGGAGGTCACCAGAGACAGGATGTTTGTTACTGGATGGCAGTTTTCCACTTAGTTTCCCTGGGTTTTCAGAGCTTGGATCCTGATTCCATGGATACCATCTAGGAAGGTACAGGTCCCTACTTGAAAAGGCAAGCTGTATAGATGTTCACATATAGTGTAGTCGTCTGTATGTACTTAAAATATAGAATGCGATGAAGATGTGTAGGTAGCAGAATGGTATAACTTCAGAGGATAAAGATGTATACTCAATATAGAGGCAACTGTTTCTCACTGTATTTTATCCTTGTTTGGCAAGTCTGAGGGTAAGAAGCCCTAAGATACAGGAATATCACTGTATGTGTTCTAAGTTACTTCTTGCCTCTAATAGGGTAAGGGCCATAAGTAATTACACAAAGACTCTCAATCTTTAGAGTTATAGCTGAGAGCCAGGACGCCTCAGATCCAACAAAGGAACGATGACAATTTGATAGAAATTTTTAGGGGCTGGCCACAGTCAGTATATTTTCTAGTTTTTGATTTAATCTGAAATTTAAAGAAGAAAAATTCTAGGTTACCAATTATCAATTCATGTACTGCTGTTACATGTCACCAGATCTTGTGAGATCTCAAGTGAAATCCAAATTCTCCACAGTATCTCAGAACAAAATTAGCTAATTATCTTATGAATGACAACTAGTAAACCTTTCAGAATATGAGGAACTGCTCTCAGAACTTTTTATAATCTGAGTCATATTTTAAGTCTCTAAATGTCCCCAGGCGGTCAAGAGCTATTTTTAATTATCTTGCAAGGGAGGAAATAAAGAAATCAGAGAACTTGAACAACATCACACAGCAGAAAACAAGTCCTTGATTTTTGAGTGCAGCCAGCCTGTCCCCAGAGCACATGCGTCCTTGCTTCCAGGAGCATCCCTGTACACAGGGCAGCATCTGCAGGCTTCCTCTCCTGGGTACTGCTGTGCAGAAGGAAAGTGTCCGTCTCCTGCTCAGCACCAGCTCTCTTCAGTGCCATGTTTCATTGCTCTGTGCTTCTCGCCACAGCTCCCAAGTTGCAGGAATTTCATGGATCACCGCATCGCTTTGATCCCCTTGCTTATTTGCGTTTTTATAATACACCAACTTTATCAAGACAGAATTTATAAACACGTAATTCACTCATTTAAAATGTACAATTCGGCAGCTTTTGCATCATCACAGAGTTGTACGACTATCACCACCATCAGTTCTAGAACATTCCCAGTGATACCTGTCCCCTGCAGCTTGGCGTCCTGCTGCCTGACAAGCACTCACATATTTTCTGTCTCTATGGATTTTTCTATCATCAGCATTTCACATAAACACAATCATGCAATATGTGATCTTTTGTGTCTACCTTCTTACTTAGCATGATGTTTCCAAATTCATACACATTACAGCGTGTTTCAGCACTCCATTCCTTTTATGGTTTTCTAAACATTCCATTATTCATACCTGCACCATGTGATGGACATATTTCCACTTTAGACTGTTGTGAATAATGCTGCCATGAACAGCTGTGTTCAAGATTTTGCGTTTTAATTTCTCATAGGTATATACACAGTTGTGTAGTTGCTGGGTTTCTGTTTAACACTGTGAGGACCTGACACACTACTTTGCTGTTTGCTTGTTTTTTAAAAAATTTATTTTCTTTTTATTTATATGTATGTGTGTCAATATGCACACATATGTTCATGTACCCAAGAAGGCCACAGAGAGTATCAGAGCCCTAAGCTAGAGCTAACAGATGGTAGTAAGTTGTCCAGATGGGTTCTGGAAGTTGAACTCAGGTCCTCTGCAAGAACAGCAAGCATTCTTAACCTTTGAGCCATCCCTCTAACCTCCAGGTTTTTGCTTATTGATAATAAGATGTTTGCAATAAAAATGAACAGTTCTGTTTCTTAATAAGAGCACCTCGGACTTAGCAAAGACACCATATGTTGTCCTCAACAGTTAACATCTGGTTGGCTATGCACTATGACTTTTAGTAATAGGAACCTAATGGAATGCTTGCGTAACTGTCATTAAATCTTTTAATGAATACATGAATCAAGTTTAATAAATGATGCTAACAACAGCTTACAGCTGTTATAACTGTAGGTCTTCTAAGCAACCTATAAAGTAAAATATCACTCAGTTTTAGAACTCCTAAAATGTAGATTTTCTCTAGACCAGTTCTAGAATTCTAGAGGCTAAAGTTTTAAAAACTATAAGACTGATAATCATAATTATGTCTGCGTTGTGAACTGGGTAGAGTTGAGAAGAAAAGGTTTAGTTTGGATAAAAAAGATAATAAAAACAAAACAACAAACAAACTCACTAACTAGAAGGACAGAAACTTCCCTATGTAGAAAACTATTCAGAAGAAACAGGTGGATCAAAGATGTCTCCCCCTGGGGCGGAGGCGCTACCAGGAAGAAGGAAATCGGTCAGATTGCGCTGTTTTCCTGGCTCCGTGTGCTTATGATACTACTGTTTACATTTCTACAGGTACACAGAATTTGTTGTTAAATAAAGCGTGATAAGGGCAAGTAAATGTTAACAGAAAAGAGAAATGAGGAACTGTTCTAATACAATATTTTTTTATTGGGTTTTGTTAAAAAGGTTCCCTGTTGCCGAGTGTCCAGCTGTTGGTAAGCATGAAAATTAATTTGAATGTTTGTGTACCAACCCAACTCCAGAGACCAGTGAGGGGACCAGCGAACAACCCAAACCAAGAAACAGGCCTGGTGCTGCGTTTTTGGTAGTGACATCTTCAACACGTAAATAGGCACATTTATACTCATCATAGTAGTGGACAATGGCCCTTTTTAAAGGATAATTATATTTTGTGTGGTAATGACCTTTCTTAATGAAAGAATTGTGTGTGTGCGTATGCAGTCTTTTTCCTATAAATAGAAATCAAACAGATCAATTTTCTTTAACACAGTAGGTTAAAAAAAAAAGAATGTTTAACCAAAGGGTGTATTATTTGATTCTGAGTAAAGGTGGCTTAATTTCTCATCAGGATTTAAATTGGAAATGAATAATTAGGAAAAGCAATAGAATTGTTATTGTTTTCAAGGAACTTTAAATCACCCTTAGGGCTGAAGGCTGGGCAAGAGTGTCCAGGCTCTCTGCTTAATCCATAATGTCCGGTCATCAGTTGCTCACAGTGATCTCCGTTCCTGTGAGGAGACTAACCCTGCAGATTTAGCAACCAATCCAGGAGCTGGATTTTACCACACTAACCACATCTTCCTTCTCCGTGTCATACTTGAACGTTTTGGGTCCTGAAAAGAAGTAAATGTAGCCTAGAAGAGATAAGGTTGAAATCATGGTTACTGGAGATGGTTTGTGGGTCTCTGGTGGGAGGATTACAACTGCGGCTCTGAGGGGGTACCAGTGGGGAGCTGGGCTCTATCACACGGCAGAGCTTGTCTCCTGAACAGCTCCAGCAACCTGACACCCCAACCTCTCAGGCCATTCCTCATTCCGTCCTGTGCTCCATCAGGGTAAGGTCTTCACTTAGGGTATGAGATAAATCACCCTCATCATGTTTTATGATTTTGCTTCATCATTTTGCCTTTGTGTAGCCTGTCAAATGTCTAACTGGCCTTCAGGACCAGCAAAAGGCTCATCATGATATAGCCAACTGCCACATTTGTCCCCGCTGTCTTAGGTCACTTCTGAACGTCATTGTGAAGTCTAGGAACACCAGTCAATACTACAGCACAGACTGTCTTGTTTCCCAGTAATTCCATCTGCGCTACATGGATAGGCATTTCTTAAGGAGGCTCAACATTCCATGAGAATAAAGATCATATTCACAATCTCCTTACAATTTCTGAACATTGTCTGTTTCTGTGCTACATACTTAGGAAGAACATGATGGAAAGGAAGTAACTAGATTGATTTGATTTGTATATAATAGTTCATCTGACTTCCTTACTATGTGTGAGATTTCAGGAGTTGGGTAGTGGAAAGGTAATATCAGGAAGGAAGAGACTGGACTCTAGCTACACTGTGGTACTGTTGGCTTTGGAGAAAGGGTCTCACTATGTAGTTGACCTCAAACTCTTCATCTACCTGCTTCAGCCTCCCGAATGCTGGGATTACAGGCCAGAGCTGCACTTCTTGTGTTTCCATATGAGAAAGGGTCTCACACATCCCAGGCTTTCCTTGGACTTGCTATGTAGCGGGGAAGACTTGGAACTTCCCTTCCCCAAGTGCTGGGATTACAAGTCACATGCCTAGTTTATGTCAGCTGGAAACTGAACCCAGGGCTGTGCACAGGGTCAGGGGCAGGGTCAGCTACATTTCCCAACTTAACACTACACTTTTAAACATATCTATTAGTAAAGGGAGAGCCATCATTTTATTTTTGTTTACTTATTTTTTAATAGAGGACTTTAAGAAAATCCCCCTCTTGGTATATAATTTTTTTATTTGAATTCATGAAATGACTTAGGACCCAAGTAAGAACCAGTGACTCCCATTGGAATCTATTTGCTATAAGTTAAAGCAGAACCCAGATTGCTTGTTGTAGTTTCCCAGGGACCACTGATATGGGGACACTTACCGTTTAACTCCACAGCGGCATCTACGTGGCCGCTCACTCCCGAAAACTCCTCTTCGGTGTTCTTTGGATAGTCTTTCTCCATTTTCTTTTTTCTTTCATCATAGCTAGAGGAGATATTATTTCACAAATAAGTTACTGTTGGTTACAGGTGACATTAAGGTGGCCAGGAACATTATCAACCAGCTCTGATTTTGAATGTGTTTGAGATCTCTCTCTGTCTCTTTTGGATGAACAAATGAATGTGTGAATGATTAGAACCAAGGAAATACGTAACAACTGAGCCCCCAAGTCTTAAAAAGATGGCTTCTGTTGAGTTTGTTCTTTGAGGATTTCAAATATGCACATTTTCCATCTGGATCCTGGAGCCTGCACTTCGCTCACCCCTTCCCATGCTTCCACATTACCCTACCCTGGAGAACTAGTGGCCACTGATTCTGAGGGACAGGCAGCCATTGTATTTAGTTGTATACTCACTGAAGAGCCCACCAGGCTCTAAGACAGTTCCACACGATTACCACACATGTGACTCTCTCTCTTTCGGATCACGTCACTTGAATCTCACTGCTCTTTCCTGGAAAGAGAGTAGGATTCTAGCTCTGAAACGGTTATCTGGTCTCTATGAGACCTAAGCTGTAAAGGCCATGGCTGTGAGTCAGCCGCACTGTATGAGCTCAGTCTCGGTGAGACTCCATTTCAAGCAGGAGAAAGTCCCTTCCTTACGAGCACAGAGCCCGAGCTGGGGCATTCCCATGTACATACCTCACCAGATAAAGTTTTTCCTTGGGCTACTGGGTAGTTTCCTATGGTAGGTTATGCCCACTATCCCGTGAAATGTACCTCTGCCTTCATGGGACAGGGGAAAACAGCTGCCAAAATCTGAGGAGAAACTAAGCCTTCACAAGGAAGTGTTCACGGCAGTGAGACTGAGCTGTGCTGCTCTCTGAAGTGCTATGGGCAGGGGGCGAGGCTAACACTCCCAGCGTATCAACAGACTATGATGTACTAGTATGCCGCTGAGACAGCTGATGTAGACGCAGGACAAGGTTCTGCATCACTGACACAGAGTAATGAAGAATGTTATCATCAAGTGACTGTTTGCTGTCGATTTCCATCATTGTTCACAGAGAAGGAAGCCATCACTTAGAAAGGCCGAAATAGTATAAGGTGGGAATAGAAGACGCCTCTGGCCAACCACCTTCCCAGTGTTGACAGGCTCCCCCTTTATGGCATGGTGATGTTCTTAATTTGTTGTGAAACTGTGGTGATGGTCTTGCTCTTTGTGGACAGATGTTTGGGGATTCCAGTGACAGAGCAGAGAGCATTGTGCCTAGGTAGATGGCTTTGGGTTTGGATTTTTGACCCTTATCGTCTATACAAGCTGTAATTGAGGGAATACGAGACTATGCTTTGAGCTGTAAGCCTTTGGCTGGAAAAGAGTCACCATAAGGATAAGACAGTTCACATGCATGAACTCAGTCCCCTCTGCCACGCTCCCTTCCTCAGATGGGATCCACGACAAGCTCTAGCCACAGTCACTGTGGTTTATTTTGATCCCAAGACTCTGACTTCTTCCAAGAGGTCTAGCAGACTCTAATTTGATCTGGGATCCTATGCCTTCAATGAATTTAAGTCTTAATTTCTCTTTCTTTTGTCTTTCATATTTTTTAGTTTCATGTTTAGTTTTCAATCTTTAAACCTATGTCAGCAGATCACATTTTGTACTAGGAAAGGGTCAAGCGGGGTGGACAGAGGGTGGGAAGTGGTGGAGTTGCTCCTGAGAGCCAGGTCAGGGACTTTGCAGACAGGATTACAGAAGAACTTAGGTGTAGCACAAGATGCACAGGCTTTCTGACTCAGTAAATTATGGTGAGATAAACGGAAGAAAGAGTATATCTGGACTCAAAGGATATGTGATACAGCTTTTGACACACTGCTTCCTAGCTGTGTTAGCTTAACATTTACCTTTACATTTTATTTATTTTTAGTGTGTGTGCATGCATATGTACGTGTGTATGTGTGTGTGTGTCTGTGTGTGTGTGTGTATGTGTATGGGTGTGTATGTGTGTGAGTATGTGTAGATTAGAGGCCACCTTGAGGGGCTCTGTTTTCTCCCTCTACCATGTAGGTCTCTGGGAGTGAATGAGGGTCGTCAGGCACATGCCTTAACTGCTCTGCCATTTTGCTGACCACTAGTTGTGATAGGTTGAAACTCTCATTTAAACTCTAACAGAGATGCAAGTTTTTAAACTGTAAACAAAGGCAATAGCACGTTCTTCTCAAGACTGTTGAGAAAGCACATGGAAGAGATAGAAGGAGGAAAACCTGAGATACTCTATAGTTCCTGCCATATGATAAGCCAACAAAATGACTATTAGCTAAATTTGAATATTTATAGTAAACATTTCTATTGATAATCTGCTATGTGCTATGATATGTTAAAACTACTGCTCTATTTTCTCATGTCTAAAGTCCTGTCTATGAAACTCGGATACCAAATTATAAATAATTCTCTGCAAGTATGATTATTTCAATCATGAACATTTGCCCGTCATTTAATGTGGATCAAAGGGCATAGCCATGAATCATTGCCAATGACTTAGTGATATCACAGTGCAGAGATATCAAATGTGTATTCTCAGATGGACCTTCATCTCCACATTTGTAACTGAAGACAAATGTTGGCAAAGAGCCAGGACATAACGCTGTACTTACAACATAGGCCTGTGGAGCGCTCCTGTTGGTGGCTTTGTTCTTCTGAGATAGGACTCCCCAGGCTCACCTTGAACTGGCCACTTCCTGCCTCCACCTCCCCAGTACTGAGGCCTGTGTCACAACATTCCACTATTTCTGGTATGTCTACAGCCAGTTTCTTTATGCTTTAATATACTCTCCAAGAGCCACATGTGCCACATAATATTCAATTGAAGGAATTGATCATATTTTATCTACCAGTTCAGCACTTGAAGGTAATTTGGGTTGTTCTCTCACTTGATTATTATGAGATGTTGCCATGACTACTTGTTATAGATTCTATTTCTTTTAGGAACGTGTCTGTGAGTATGCGTTGGGTCTGATTAGTTCTATTGATGTTTCTCTGGTACGGCAGACAGTCTTCCATTGCGGCCCCCCTCACTCCCTGTCCTATCAGCAGCTGTATGAAGGTCATGTCTTACTGCATTCACACAATGCTTGATAGGATTTGGCTTTTAGATTAGAGCTTCTAGTATGTATGAAGTGACATCTTTGGTTCACCTTTATCCAATGATGGGTGCCAGCCATCTGTCCATGTGTTACTTTTTTGAGAAATGTCTAGTTAGGCCCCCTTGTCTTATTTTAACTGGATTGTGTGCCTTTCTAGTAATTGAACTAGATGACACAAGTCACTTACCAGACCTGTGACTTACATTTACACTCCTTATGATTTATCATACTTTCTTTTAATGTCCTTTGAGCAGAAAACTTAATTTAATGAGGTCCAGTTTGTCTGATTTCTTTTTGTGTGTGTTTTGTATCTAAGCAGCCAAAGTCAAATCCAAAGTAATGGAGCTTCTATTTTTTCTCTAAAAGTTTTTCTCATTTTAGCATTTATATGGAAGGTATTTAGCCACTTTTGACTTAATTTTATTCATGCTGCGAAGAGTCTATTCCCATGCTTCTGCGTGTGGCTCTTTATTTGGACCAAAGAATTCGTTGAGAAGTATTGCCACCCAACTGAATGTCCTTAGCAGCTTATGAGCCGACTTACCATAGCCATATGGTCAAATTCTAGGCTCCAAATTTTATCCTGTCGATGTATATGTCTGTTCTTATGACTCACACTTCTCTAACTGAGGCTTCTTTGTGGTGGGTTTTGAAACCAGCAAGAATGGGCCCTATGCAAATTCTTCTCGTTCCTCTTCTTTCTCCAATGGCTTAGCTATTCGGGGGGGGGGGGGCTGTGGAATTCCCCGTGAAGTTCAGCTTGCCACTTTCTACAAAGAAGCAAGCGACGCGCTGATACTGTGCTCAAGCTGAAGATCACGAGGGCTTGCGGCTCACGGGCAGGAACACTTGAACACTTTTCCATTTGGAGCTTGTGTGTGATTGCTTTCATGGATAGCTCAGCATTTAGACTGCATGATCTTCAATAGCTCCTTAGCTTATTTTTAAAAAATATTTTGTGTCTTCAATGCTATATTATGTAGTTATTTTATATCCTTTTCATCCTCGCAAACTTGTTGAATGCATTTGTTAGTTTTAATGGTTTTGTTTTGAGTCTTAATTATGTTTTTCTATTAAAAGATAGTATCCTGCACAGAGAGAAATAGTTTACCTTTCTCCTCTGGCTTTCTCTCACTTGCTCTTGCCTCATTGCCCTGCTTGGCACTTCCTGAAGACACCAAAGGAGCAGGAAAGTGGGGATTTCATTTTGCCCCTGCTCTTAGTGGGGATAGCCACTAGTCGTCATTGCTGAGTCTCATTCTAACTGTGAGGAAGTTTCTCTCTCTTCTGTTTCTATTACTGTCATGCTTCCTTTTCATCATAAAATGATGCTTGATTTCACCAAGCACCCTTTCTGCATCTAGGGAGACAATCACATGCTTTTTCGTATACTAAGCCGCATAAAACATAGTGCTATTTGATTTCTGGATATTAACATATTCTTGCATTCCTATAAAAATCCCTTCTTCATCTTTGTGTGTAATTATTTTTAAACACTGTCTGGGTTCCTAGGCAGTATTTTTGGAGCACCTTTGGATTCATATGCAAATAAAATTATTTCTTTATTTCGTCATGACACCTTTGCCCAGTTTCTGTGTGAAGACTTGATGGCTTATACAGCCAACTGGTGTGGTGCTCTCTTCTATGTTTTGGAGAAGCTTGTGAAAATTTGGTATTAATTTTTCTTTAAATATTTTGGAGAAAATCACTGGTGAATAAACCCTTCCAGAGAATTTCTAATGTTAGAAAATTATTGTCAGTATTATTTCAATTTTAAATATCTAAGGTAAATTTTTTATAAGAATTTGTGACTATTTTAAAAATTTATTTAATTTTAATCGAGCATTGTGTGTGCATGCGTGTGTATGCATGTGTGTACATGCAGATGTGTGCATTATAGGTA